AAACATTGTGATGAAGACTATGTATGTATGTATGTATGTATGTATGTATGTATCTATGTATGGCCACTACTATTCGAGGGTACCCGTCTACTAGGGTAGCTAGTATATCCCTATTGCAGATGCTTGCTCAGGTGCATTTTGTGTTTGTTCAACACCCACAGAGCCCACTTGTGGATTATATGCAACTATGCTGAGCAGACCTTAGTTACAGTTTCTAGGAAAGAGCGTGGTATCTAGTGTGATCAACAACTTGAACAAGGCCAGCACACTCAAACCCTCAGCCATGATGACTTCTGACTTTGTGCTAGCACAGCTGTTGATAGCCCACAGGGTTACTATCTACCAAATTTCACTGATAAGGCTTGGGTCAACTTGTGGTATGGTTTTCAAACACTTTCCAAAGGTGCCACATGCTGGGATTGACTCCTCCAGTCTGATAACATTAGGAAGTCTCCTTCCTGACAAATTGACCATGGTGAGATTTGAACCTGGGTTTCATGGTCAGAATGCTAATGTTCTAACCACTTGGCCACATAATGATAACTTCTCATCCCAGAAATTCAGACAGAAATTGATAACTTGTTAGGTAAAGTAAGTGTAACATAAATTTTCATTTAGGAATAAATTTTAAAGATATAGGCTAGAGAAACATGTATTTAATTAACACTAATCTGTATATCTGAATAAACTATTTTACATCTTACTGTAGGCGAATTGGCATTTTATTGCTTTTGTGTCTTTCATCCATTGATTATTATTAAGTTTTCTATTGTTTCAACTTTAATATAACTTGCAGCAGTTGTTATAGTGATCTTTGCTTGGATATTGTTTGCTATTCTGACATACATTTTGTTTTTAATGATGAACTGCACATGTTTTAATGGATTAATATCTTGAGAGCCTGGGAGTCATTCTATTTATTTGGTGTTTTGGCAAGGTAGGCAATAGTCAGCTATGCAGAATATGAAGAAGCATTATCTTGCTTGAATATAGTCTTTAGCTTAAAGCTTCTTGGTTGCAGTGTGTACCACTCAAAATAAATAAAAATAAAGTAATAAAATAAAAAAAATCAAATAAAAAAATAAAACCTTGTCCAACAACTTAGAATAATTCTTTGGATTTATTTTCATGCCATTGTGAGGATTACCCCACCTTATCTGGATTTATCCACACTTTTATTTCTAATCCTGCTGTGTTCAAGCTGCCTCCTTACCAGAAAAACCTGGTGGGGAAGGAACTGGTTTAGTGTCTGATGATCTAACCATGCTGCAGGTAGAATTTGATTACATGCAACTAGTGGTACTTGTAGAAAGACCTGATCACTCCACTTTTTTTAATCTTAAAAAGTTTTATTTCTTGTTCCTAACTTGCCAGTGTTTTCAATTTCTTTTAGATCAACTTTGTTGTAATTTCTAACATTGATTCCATCAATGAATAACTTCACAATATTTTGTCTTTTGAGGTTATACATTTCTTATTTCTTTATTTATCTGAAATTAAAAAATAAATATCAATAATTATGCTATTTCTTGCAAAAATGATGACAACTCTCAGATTGCATAATAAAATCTCACACCACCAAATAAGCTATTGTAAATATTTCTAATATAAATATTGGAAGTTGAAGTTCACCTGGTATATTTCTACCAATATAAAGATATCTTGAAAATGTATTGGTCAGCATACCAATTTTACTGTGGAAAAATGACTTACATAAAAATAAAATCTGACATAATGTGTATATATGCCGGTATAGTTAATACTTTGATCTTTGGATTGACAACTTGTCATGATTCTGCTTTTGTCGGATTAGTGATGCTTTTCGTACATTTAAGAAAAAGTGATTTTAAATTAGTGACACTTTCTTCGAACGGTCAGTCTCATGTTTAATTATACACTGATTTCAATTGTACATTATTCATAAATATAATAGTAACACTAGGGTCGTTATTAATCGAATGTAAACTTTACACGCCCTTTCCGAATTAGGTTTGGAAGGGAAATGCAACCTGGGAATTTTAACACTTAGTCTTGAAGAGAAATACGTCCATTTTTTTTTCTTTCGCTTCGTGGAAAACGAAGACGAGTTGAATGTGTACATTAAAAATATAACAAAAAAAATCTGCGTGGGATTTTCTTCTTTTTTTTTTTAAATTTCAGGAGATGCTGTTTGTGTTTTTTGATATCGTTAGTTTTTTTTTAAAAAAAGGGAGTAAAAAAGGAAACGTTAGAAAAAAAAGGGATGAAAAAAACAAAACAAAAAACAAAACGGAGCTAGATGAATCGACAGAGTCGAAACCTTGGCATGATGATGAAGGCGGCGAGGGGTAAAAAGCAATGCGCTGTAAATGCAAAAAGAATGAAAATGTTGATGTGAGAGTGAAGTGGGTGAATAGAGTACGAAGCAAATAGCAGAGAGAAAAAAAAAATTGTGCTCGTTCAAGTTTGAGTGCAAGGTCAGCCAATCAGTTGGGAACGGTGTGCTTAAAATGTCGGCACTTCCATTCTCTCTTCTTGTAGGACGGACACCAAACCAGCTAACATCCAGTTAAAGAAGAGAGAGATAGAATTAATAATGGCTGCGCTTGGGTAAGTTATAATATATAAACCGCGTTTTTTTGTGTGTTTGTTGTTTTTGTTATTATTAGTAGTAGTGGTATTATTATTTTATCTTATAAAAACCGTAGTAGGAATGTTTTTCTTCTCTCCTTTCATTATGCTTCGCTATTATTATTTTTTTTTATTATCCTCCACTTTTTTTTTTTTCTAAACAAATTGTATTTTCATTTATCGTCCAAATCGAGGGAAAACAGGAAAGAAAAAGAGTTTTAAAATCTCCCCGCCTTCTCCATTTTTTCCCGCCGTCACCAATCCAAACGCGGGAAAAAAAATTTAGTGAACGAAACAGAAGCAGTAATATATGTATATGTATATACATACATACATACATATATACATACACATATGTGTATGTGCCTCTATATCTATTTATAGATATATATTATTTGTCTATGTCGTTGAGGAAAAACTGAGGGTGAGTGGTGTGCGCCGGCGACGAACAGACAGAAAACGACCAACAACAATTTCAGTTAGTTCTCTTTTCAACATACTCTTCTTACCAAAATGGCCGACGACTACTACTTGGCTTCTTCCTATTTAAAAACAACCACATAGCCGCTATGTAGCGTGCTCCCATCACTGTGTTTAAAAGTAAAACAACTTCCCAGACTTTGTTGTTATCTATGAGAATTCACTTTCACTGTCCGATCTATATATCAGATTGAAATTATTTTCTTGTGTTCGCTTCTTTACTTTACTTTCTTCTTTTTTTTTTCTTCCCTTCTTTTGGAGATTGGCCTAATTTTAAAATTTTTCCTAATATTTTACAAGTGTCTTTTTTTTTTATCTTTTATAAAAATTAAAAAGCAGTCTTTGAATAATAATCATTATTATTATTAAAATTTAAAATCTTTTTTCAAATTTTTTTTTTTTTTTTTAATTGGAATTGAATAAATAACTTTTTTAAAATGTCACATAAGCCAACCAAAAGCCTATTATTATTAGATTTTATTTAACGTGTCTACCTTGTATTTTTCCTCTCTTGTCTTTTTTACTATCGATATAAGTACTTTTGTAAATCAGTCTGATATTTTTTTTTTAAAAAACAAATCTTACGGAATAACAAAAATTCCGATTGTCAAAATAATTTTTATGGCGAAAAAGGATTTTTTGGTTTTTGGAAAAGAAAGAATTAATTTTATTTTTAAATAATTTTTCTTTTTCATTTATTCCTCACTCATCTTTTTAATTTTTAAAGAGATTTTAATTTTTTTTTAATTTGTATCTGGAAAAAATTTTTTTTTTTTTTTTTTTTTTTTTTTAAAGTTCATGATAAATTATTTTTCTCAGGTTTTAAAATATCTGCTTTCTGTATGGAGAGAAAATAAAAAAAAAAAACACGTTAAAAAAATAGATGCCAACTGACAGTTTTTAACTCAAATATTTTGGAAATAGTTATTTAAGAGATTACATAAAAATTATATAATCTAATAAATACAACATATGATGTAAAATCTATGAAATGATGTCAAATCGTCTATATAAGTAAATAAAACATATAACAAGAACAAGGGCGAGACTTAGTAGTCGCTACATTTGGTGTACTTTTAATAATCAAATACAGTTTTTTCGATTGGAAAGTCGTCTTTTGTGCTTTTTTATTATCTTTTTTCATAAATATTTTCTATTCTTTCATGCTAAATAAAGCATTAACCAAAAAGAACAAATATTGTGTTTTTCTCTCCTTTTTAAAAAGCCAAGACCGAAAGTAAGATAGCGAATTATTTAGAAAGTTAAAAAATGAATCTTGGCTAAATCATTTATTTGCTTACAATAAATGTGTAAATCAATTTCTCATTGTTTTTGGGGTTTGTATTTATTTTCAGATCTCACCAATAAAAAACTTGAGCTAGTTTTTCTTTTTTTAGGAGCAGATAAATTATTTTGCATAAAAATATTTATTTTAAATTTAAAAATAAATATATTTTTTGAAAGCTGAAATCACTTCGATGTTATTGCAAATTGGATTATTATTTTTAATAAAAGAAAAATTGATCTTCATTTCCATTGCAAAGGATGAATTTTTTTATATATACCCACGACCTCCAATAAAATGTGTATAAAAATAAGTCACTTTTCCCCATGGTCCATTGACGAAATATGTGGTTGGGAAGGCTTTTTATGGACATTTTAAAACTAAAACTCAATAAATAATCAGTTTTATAAACTTTTTTTTTCATATGCAAGTTGTTATAGTTGCATTTTGTCCAGAAGCACACTATTTTTAGAGATATAAATAGCTAAATTCTTGTTTAAAATTCAGCAGTGTTTAATTAAATTAATGACAAAATTAAAAAGGGACACTGCTAAAAGCCCCTCCCCCACATCCAGTATTTTGCATACATTAGTTTTATACTTTACAGTACAAGTGTGTGTCTGTGATGAGGGAGAGCGGAAGAAGTCGTAATAGTGTTATTGCGTATATATCTATCTCCTCTAACCCGTGTCTGCTTGTCAAAGCTTCCAACAAAAGAAAAAGGCCAGAGGAAGAATTGACGTGAGGAGAATATAGTGGGGGAAGTCTTGTAGGAATCTTGAGAATTGAAGGGGTGCGAATTCATGAAACTACTTATTGATTTAAGGTTATTTACACATATTAAAAAAAAATTCTCCTGATAATAGGAGTCTATTCACATTCCTCAGCATTCCTCCTCTCTCTTTCTCTCATACACACACACACGCACACACGGGATACTGAAATGTTTTTGGCTCAACCTGATTCTCTGTCCTAACTGACCAAAATCATTTTTTGTTTAATTTTGTGTCTATCTCCCTCTCTTGCTCTCTCTTCATCCATGTCTCTATCTTTATACATCTCCCTCTCTTCAGCCATCTCTCCATCCCTATCTTCCATCTCTTCAGCCATCTCTCTCTCTCTTTTACTATATGTGGTGCTTCTATCCACACACGCACACACAAGGCGCTGAAAAGTTCTTGGCTCAATTCGTTTCTCCAAACTGTCCAGATTGAACAAAAGTTTTTTTATTGTTTAATTTTGTGTGTTTATTTTTCTTGCTATATGAGGTATGGAAAAGATGGTGTGTGTGTGTAAAGAATATTCTCCCACAAATAATATATATATATATATATATATATATATATATATAAATATAATAGATTTAATTTTTAATTCTGCATTATTTCTTATTGCCCCAAAAGTTATTCTAGTGGAAAATTGGATGTCTACTCAAACATGATTATTCACTAAAATAACTTTGGGAATAAAGAATGTGGTGGAGCTGCTGAAAAATGCTTGACCCAAGTAAGAATCCCTTCCACATTAAATGTTTGGTTATTTGATCAGATTTTGGAAAGTGGGTTGGGCTGAGAACTTTTCACTTTCTCCTTATATCTTTATCATTTATTTGTTTGCGTATGGTCTGAAGTGTGTATTATGGACATGCAAGTCATTGGCGGCTTATGACCTGTGATTTATCTATTTCGTTAGCTGAAAACAAGAATACAGAATTCTTCATTGTTTAATCTCTACCATTCTCTCATTACCAATTAAGGAAATTCTTTGTAAGAATGGGAAGAAAAACAACAGAAATAACAAAGCACGTCACTGATACAAAATGCTGTACAAGATATTTTAATATGTTGTTTATATTTAATGTTATTTGCCTGTGTAAATTAACAAATGTGTTTTTCTGTGTGTTCACATCTGTAACTCAACATGTACTCGTATTCTTTGATGGTGATTTTACAAAGTGTAGCTTACATGTGGCACAAGGCTGAAAGTATGGACCACTCAGTGAGGATCAGACTCATTACTCATAATTGATCTGAAGTTTGCTTACCATTATACCATGTTGAAGTGCCCTCTCATATATCGTTTTATGAGTATATGTGATATATAGTGAAATATACACATGCTTATTTGAACATTTTTGTGTGTTTTCTCTTTTCTTGTGTCATATATAAACTGCCTGTGCTATTAAAAATTGTTTGTATGCATGATAGATCTGACTCTTGCAGTCCAGACCTATTCAGTGTTTTGAGAAAAAAAAACAAAAAGCAATGGGTTTTGTCTATCCTATTGCTTTTCAGTTCCTGACAAATCATACACTTGCCACAGTAAAGAGGGAGTGAAGTGTGGGGAACTGGGGAATAAGATTACTTTCTTGAAGCTACCCCTCAAAAAAACATCCATTCTTTCTTTCATTCTCTTTAGCTTTTACAAAATGGCTCATAACTTTTAAAATTCTTCATTTCCATTGCAAATCTTCTTTATTCTTTGTATTGGTTAATTAATAAAAATATTGGATTAAAAGTAAATCCATTAATTCTTATATATAGGACTCTCCTGTTGTTTTTTTCGATGTATGAGGGTCTAGCATCTCAGTTCATAGACTACCCACATACATGATTTGATTATTGTGGCAAAGGATTGTGCAGAACCAGCCACATCAACCAAAACAAACACAGAAAACAGGTGCACAGCATACCACAAGGTCCCCAAAATACCTTCCTCAGGTTTTGAATTCAAAGCAGCCTTTCTCCTAGGCTGGTTGTCACCAAGGCTATAGGACCCAGTCTGTCCTGCTATTAGTCATAACTGAGAGGGAGAAGAGATGGAGTCATACCCTTTTCCATACCCATAAGTGAATGTAATGAACATGACTGAAATTCAAACTCTCCAATTCCTCAATCCGAAGTTCCATTATCCATTACTCTAATGTATATATATATATATATATATATATATATATATATATATATATATATAAAGGTGTGAAATATGCATGTAGATATTTAAGCTTACTCTTGTCTGGCACAAGATCACTAGTGAGTCACCCAGTAAGGAAATGCTCATCTCTGTTCAGTTTCAAATGTTCATCTTCATTATTTATTAGAAGCAGCAGTTCAGAAATTGCTTGTCCATTTTATATAGAAAGAACCTGAGTATTGATTCTGGTGCTTTATGTATTCAATGAATGTCACAATCACCTGTGGAGCAGCAGCAGCAGCAGTTCACATTCATCATGAAAATAATAAAAATGATACTATGAATAATATAGAAAACATTTAACTATGTTTATTTATTTATTTAATTTTTTTTTTTTTTGGCTTAGCTCATCTGTAAACCAACAAGGAAGAATGGATTTTCTCCACAGCTTGTTTTTTTTTTTTTTTTTTTTTTTCATTTTGAGATTGTAGAAACCATATTACTGAAAAACACAAACCTACAACCTCATGTGTTTTATATTAGTGAAGGTATTAAATGCATTTTCTTATTTTTTAGAAAGGCACTAATGAAATGACTTTCTGCCTGCAAACCTTTCATAACTTTTTTTCCCCTCGTTACTATGACATTGTTACTCATATTTTAGTAATGGCAGAGCTAGTTATCTTTTTAATCCTACTATTAATATGACTATGATTACAAGGATTTGGCTTGGTATTGGCAGGAAGAAATTAAATCTATAAATGTAAATTTTATGAAATTTTTACTACTATGAATAATTTCTGAAAAGTTGTGATGCCCCCAAATTCTATCAAATGACCAAATATCAGATATTATTTTCTTAGTATTTTTTCTATTTTCTTTTCCTTTCACTTTTCTTATTTTTTCCCCTTCTTTTTTTCCCCTTCCACATCTTCTTTTCTACTTTTTTTCTACTTCTCTTCAACCTCTCCTTTCCTTCCTTTTTTCTTCTTCTCTTCAACTGCCTCCTCCTCTTCTCCTTCTCTTCAATCACCTATCCTCTTCAACTGCTACCTTCTCTTGTTCTTCCCTTCATCTGCCACCTCTTCCTCTTCTGTTCAACTGCCTCCATCTCCTCCTCTTCTGTTCAACCGCTTCTCTTTATCCACTTCTTCTCTTCAAATGCCAGCTCCCACTCTTCTTCTTTCTTTAATCACCTACTCCTCCACTTCTTATCTTCAACTGCCTATTCATCCTCTTCTTTTTCTTCTGTTCAACAGCCTGCTTCTTCTACTCCTCTTCAACCACTTGTCCTTTCTCCTCCTCTTCTCCAGACTGCTCCTCCTCTATTTCTTCTCCTCTTCAACCACCTGCTCATCCTCTTCTTTTCTTCTCTTCAACCGCCTGCTCATCCTCTTCTTTTCTTCTCTTCAACCTCCTCCTCCTTCTCTTCTTTTCTTCTCTTCAACCGCCTGCTCATCCTCTTCTTTTCTTCTCTTCAACCGCCTGCTCATCCTCTTCTTTTCTTCTCTTCAACTGCCTCCTCCTCCTCTTCTTCTCTTCAACTGCCTCCTCCTCCTCTTCTTCTCTTCAACTGCCTCCTCCTCCTCTTCTTCTCTTCAACTGCCTCCTCCTCCTCTTCTTCTCTTCAACTGCCTCCTCCTCCTCTTCTTCTCTTCAACTGCCTCCTCCTCCTCTTCTTCTCTTCAACTGCCTCCTCCTCCTCTTCTTCTCTTCAACTGCCTCCTCCTCCTCTTCTTCTCTTCAACTGCCTCCCTCCTCCAACTGCCTCCTCCTTCTTCTCTTCAACTGCCTCCTCCTCCTCTTCTTCTCTTCAACTGCCTCCTCCTCCTCTTCTTCTCTTCAACTGCCTCCTCCTCCTCCTCCTCTTTTTCTGTTCAACTGCCTGCTCCTCTTCTTTTTCTCCTCTTCATCTGCCTGCTCCTTTTCTTTTCAACTGTCTGCTCCTCCTCCTCTTCTTTACTTCAACGACCTGTTCCACCTTCTCTTCAACCAGCTGCTCCTCAACTTCTCTTCAACCTCCTGCTCTTCTTCTCTTAACCACCACTTTCTCTTTTCTTCAACTGCTCCACTTCTTCTCTTCAACCACCTGCTCCTCCTCCTCCTCCTTTCTCCAACTGCCTGCTTATCTTCCTCTCTTCAACCACTTCCTTTTCTTCTCTTCAACAGTCTATTTCTCTTCGACTGCCTGCTGATCTTTTTCTTTTTGACTACCTGCTCCTTTTCTTTTCTACAACCGTCTCCTTCTCCTCTTTGACCATCTTCTTCTCTTTAACTGCCTACACCTCCTCTTCTGCTTCTCTTCAACCGCCTGTACTGCTGCCTCTTCTTCTCTTCAACCACCTTCTCTTCTTTTTCTTAATTGCCTGCTTCTTTTCTTCATCTGCCTATTCCTCTTCTCTTCCGTTTCTTCTCTTCAACTACCTGTTCCCCCTCCCCTTCTCTTCATCCGCATTTTTCTCCTCTTCTTCTTTTTAACCACCTCTTCTTTTCATGTGTCTCTTCTTATTTTCTTCAACCCCTTCCTACTCTTATTCTCTTCAATCTTCTCCTTTTTCTCCTCCTCCTTGTCACAGAAATTATGTATATTGCCTGATTTCCTAATTACACTTACAAAAGAATATTTTTGTAAGGTTACCTTGTGTCTGTCAAGCTAAAATAGCTTCCATTACCATTAAACTTTTGTTGGATAATTAACAGAATGATTAAGCATAGAATAGACACTAGAATAAGCCATTATGAAAATTAATTTGGGGTTATGTGTATTAGGAAAAATATTGTCTTTTACTTATAAATTTAAGGTGTATTGTTTTCATTTAAAGAACTGAATTGTATAGATGCGTCCATGTGAATCTTAGCATTTTTATTTCAATCATTTTAAAGCATCACTTTAAAAATACATTTCAGCTCTTGTAAGTTCCTCAGGTGGTTAGATGAATAAAAAGAAAAAAACAAGGTTATTTTTTAGAATAAAGTTTGGTCATTCCATCTCAAATCAAACACTGACCACAGGTGAGCCTCTCATTAAAATATGGGAAAATTCCCCGGTTGTTCCTTGATTAAATTTATAAATCACATATTGTTTCTTTTTAATAGTTATAAATTTTTTTTTGAAATTTCACTGCATTTTTTTTTTACATTTTGCTAAATAAGGCTTACAACAAATTAACATAATGCATGTACAGATTTGAAACCTGGTGACAATAGTTCATATTTACTGTAGATTGCAAAAATATAAACAGCTTAGGTGTGTCTATGTATTTTTTTTATAAAGACCTGAAAATGAGCAAAATGATGCTGTTCATTTTGTGAGCTCACTTACAAAGTATGTCAGATACAGCCTTTAAATTACTTTTCCCGTTGTTTATAACTTAATAGATTATTTCTACATAATGACCATATTCATCCCTGTTATAAGAATGTCAGTGTTACTGTTTGAAAATAGCTTTCTTTTTTTTCTTTAAAATATCTTTTAAAATTGGCTATTTTCATGACATCAGGGAACCAATTAGAAAATTTTAATATTTTTACCACATCTTGCACGTCTGAAGATCATGTGACAAGTTTTCTTTTGTGGACAAACTTCTATCTAGGGCTAAAACCTTTTTTCTAGAATTTTTCATGCCAGACAAAAGTTTGCACCCCTTCACATCTGTCCTTGGAGTGGATGGTGATTTCTCCCTTCTTGCTCTTACCTTGTTACATCTCTGCCCACATTATAGCAGTGAAACACTGGAAAAAATCTGCAATACTTTTTTGTTATAAAAGTTATTGTAGGCTCATGTTAATGTGAATTTTAATTTTAGCATGATTTTTTTCCCTTTTACATTTCTTGTTCTTTTTGGTTGGTTTTTTTTTTTCTCCTTTTTTGTTTTTTTTCCTTTTTTTTTTTCTTTCTTTCCTTTTTTCTCTATCTTTTTTTTTCTCATCGATTGATAGTATATAGCAAACATGCATCCTTATTTTAAAAAAAAATTCTTTCTTTGTTGCACTCAAAACTTTTTATCACTTAGTTTAATCCTAATTTCAAGTGTACAAACATTAAAGTGTGCCTACAAGCTTGAAAGATTCTATCAGCAATGCATAAAAAAAAACTTTGGCAAAGTTTAACAAACATAGCTGCAAAAAAAAAATGTACTAAAAGGACAGGTTTTCTCTTGGCACTGCTATTCCTGTATACTCTTGGCAATTTTGTTTTAAAATTTTAATAAAACCCAAAAATATGAAACTGGTTATATGCATTTTCTTTTTTTCTCCAGAACTGACAATAAAAATATCAAACACTATTTATTAGATTGTTTACTTACAAGAACAATTTTATATTTACAAGTTTATAAAAATATGTGAATTTTTTACAATGCAATCTGTATTATTTACGATATTATAAAGAAATATTTTTTTTAACTAATTTGCCCCAAGCAATACGACACTGCCAGTAAGACACAAGGGGCTACTGAGAGTGAAAGAGAATGAAAAATTTTAGAAGGAACAGTAAACCTGATCCTAAACGAAGAACAAGGGATAAACCACTACTCCTGTTCAAAACACTAGGAAGGAGTGTGAACTGGGCAGGATAAACTACCAGAGGTCCTAATCAATGGTGAATTCATTAAGCATCTCACATCACAGGGAGCATCTTTCAGACAAGCAATATGGATTTTGTTTCTCTAAGTCAACTGCTGATGTACTGATAATAATTGTGGAAAGAGTCTATCAGGATCTAGATATTGCTTTGAACATCTTGAAAGCTTTCAACATGTTTTGGCATACAGATGAAAATTTATGTCTTTGGCCATATTTTTGAACTGATTCAGTCATTCTTATCAAATCATGAAATGAAAATTATCCTGAATGGCCACTTTTCTTTTTTACTAATGCAGGTGTCCTTCATGGCTCTATCCTTAGTCCTACTCCGGTCTTGATAGTCTGATCAGTTCAATAAGGTCATAATGGCGACTGGTATAAAAAACCAACCCTCAGGCTGTTGTTAACTGGAGCAAATGATGGATTGTTAATTTTAAATACTCTAAAATTTAATTCTATTAATCATCTGAAAGACCCCTTTCTACCATCTATCATCATGACTGATGTTAACCTCCAGGAGAGTGACTCATTATACCTTCTCAGGCTAATGTTCTTGGCTGACATGGAGTGGAAAGACTATATTGAATCCATTGCTAGGTCAACTGCTAAGAAAGTCTGTTCACTGTGATGTGCTAGACAATTTTTCTCTTCAGAAACTATCTTACATATCTATAAGTGTACCATTTGTCCATGCTTAGAATATTGCCACCACATGTGGTCCAGTGTTCCTGCTATATATATATATATATATATATATATATATATATATACTTGATAAAATCTAAAGAATTGGCAATATTATTGGTCCTGATTTGGCATCTCAGCTGCAGTCACTTTTCCACTGCTGTAAAGCTTCCTCCCTGTGCCTTTTCTATAAATACTTTCATGTTAACTGTTCAGATGAGCTCTTCATAATGGTACCTAGACTTTATGAATTTAAGTACAGTGCTAGACTAGCAATGTGGTCTCATCAATTTACAGTTGAGTTGTCTAGCTGTAACGATAAGTTCTAGGGCAAGTTTCTTTTCTTGCACTTCTTGCTTGTGGAATTCTTTCTTAGCTCTATGCTTTCCAGTCAACTTTAATCTTCAAAACTTAAAATGCAATTTCAATCTCTATCTACTGTCATGATTTACAGTTTATTAAAAGGAGTGAGTTTTATACATTATTGGATAACTGAGAAAGTCTATTTACTTCATGGGCTTATGGTCATATTACGTTGAAACTCATACAATCACTGAAGTTAAGTAACGTCTAGCCTGGTCAGTACCTAGATGACTGACTGTTTGGAAATACTAGGTGCTTTAAGCTTGGATGTGCAGGTAGTGTATGGATAATAGCTTGGAATTGTTAATTGGCGAGCTGCGTTCCTATTCCAGTTGGGTTCATTATATTCACTTATGTGCAAATACTCTTGGGAAAGGTATGAATCCATCTGTTCTTCCCCCAGCTATGAGTTAATTAGTAGGACTTGTATTAGTAAATCATTATTATCACAAAAAAAATTCTTGCAATCTAAAAATTGCTTAAAGTAATCTGCAAAAGTTTGGTAATCCATAAAAATCTGATCACCCAATCACTTCATTATTTTTTATTACTTTAAATATCATTTTTAGTGGATACATGTGTTTGAATTGGCATTCATTTTTTTTCTTAAACAGTGAAATTAATATCAACTGGCTTGATTAGTTCATATTAATTTCACTGTTTAAGAAAAAAAACAAAAAAAACTGATAACTCAAATATAAATTAAAAAAATGATGTTTATAGTAATAAGAAATAACGTCCTTTTAAAATTAAAAAAAAAAATTCAGTATATTAAAATAAAACAATTTTTATTTTCAATTTGAACATATTTACTGCTTTGTTCAGTTTGATTGATAGCTTTCTATCTTCTATCTTTCTATTCTTCATAATTCCATCCTCTCAAAACTTATCATTTCTAGGAAATTGAAATTTTTTCATGAAGAGAATTCTATGAAAAGTGGAATAAATCACAAACCGAAAGTGACATATCTGTGGAATGTTGGATGAGAGAAAAATTCTTAGACAATTTGTAATAATTTTTTCTGCTCATCAAAGAAATATAAAATCAATCATTATCATGATGGAATATTACCCCTCATTCTTCTCATCCTTACCCTACAAATCTTTCTTTCTGTTTCCACTCCTGTGTGCTAAACTAGTTTGCGTTTTGTTTAGTCTCTTGTGTTGCCTCTATCTGTCTAAAGGCGGGTCTAGAAATACCTAGTGTTGAGATACGTCAACATATGCTAAAGCTCAATTTCCTGGATTGAGTGCATTTGCAAAATGAGGGTAACTGTGACTTCTGCAAGGAAGACACTAGGAAAGCCTTTACAGTTTTAAGAAGTGTGCAGGAAAGCAAGTGGGGGTCTGCTGTTTGCACTCAGCTAAGGGCTCCTTCTAACCCAATTGTCAGAAGGCTTCATTGGCACATGGACTTTATCTCAGAAGGCATTATGTGTTAGCGAGGAGGGCTATTCATGATAATCTGATGGATGAGCTCAGTTTGAAGCAGCAGGAGTTATTGCTCTTTGTGGTCTTTGGTACCCGGCTTTAGGTGTCTCATTAATGATAAGACATCACTCACCTGGCTGGTGTAGTTGAATGCCCTCTGAGTCTGCAAAAGGCTGATTCCGTGTTGTCATCAGTTATGTCAGAATGCATTCATTGTGGTGAATAGGATAAGTCCCTAGGGTATGCCTATTTTAACTGTAATAATAAACGTCCATTATGCAAACTTTGCATGCTTGGTAGAAGTTTTTTTTTGTCCTTGAGGCCAGGCTAGCAATGTTGTACCGGACCAACAGAACAAGCATAAACACATGGCATCATGAGCGTTATGATTTGGATGACGTGGTAGAAGAAAATTC